CAAGGCAACGTAGTGCCAGACGGGGCGATCTGTCGGGCACAGAGAGAGAGAGAGAGAGAAACAAAAAAACACGAAAAAAACGGACAGCCAGGCAGACGGACAGACAGAGACATCGACAGGGAGGGGGCACATCCAGGCATATCAATGTTCTGTTCGGGAGGGAGGGAGGCCAACTCGGCTCCGCCTTGGGCTCTGGCCAGCACTATCGGCTCCGCTTTGACTGCCAGTGCGGCTAGAGGCAGCACGGAGACGGATTCGGACCCGTTGCGCACCCACAGGTGCTAGCAGCGAATATCCTCCTTCATACGCCGGCTCTCGCCGTTCCCCGCCGTCCTCCTCCTTTCACATTCCTCCTGTGTGCTTTGGGCCGCCTGGGCCTCAGGGCTGGGCCTCCCTTCGCTGGGGATGGTGGCGCTCAGGGGCTCTCGGGGTGAAAGCCTTCAGCAAGAACGGCGCGCAGACTGCTGCGATGCCGAATCCGACCGACCTTCCTCCTCCCTTCTCCGAGGGCGGGATAGAAGTACTGCGCAAACACTTGCGGTCCCTCCAACAATGGAGGAACCGCAGACGGCGCTGCGGAGCTTGACGCTTCCTCCTGCCGAGGAGATCCGATGCTCCTTCGAGCCTCCGGCTCTTCCTCGCGCCCCCCGCTTCCCGCCCCAGATCGTGCCCTCCGCTTCCCGCGCACAGGCCGCGGCCCCCTCCCAGCAGTTCCTGGCACCCGCTGCTCACTCCCGCGCCTGCCGGCGCCCCGTCATTGCCGGGTCCACGAGGTTGCCCAGATTCCACGTCCTCTGCCTCCCCCGCCCTCGTCCGCGCTATAATGCGCTCACCCTGGCTGAGCAAATCCCACTTTGGCATGCAAACTATTGATGCTTCGCGCATCCCCACCAGCCCATCCAAAAACAGACACCAGGCGAGTAGCCCTGATCAGGGATATGTTGCAGCATGCGGCCCCGCAGTGGATCGTGACGACGACGGCGACGGCGACAGCGACGAGACGACGGCGACGGCGACGGCGACGGCGGCGGCGCCGACGCCGACGCCGACGCCGACGACAGGAGCTACTATCAAGACCTTTTCGATCTTTCGCTTGGGGAGCGTTTTGGAGGCCTCTTGGGGCCATCGTGGAGCCCTCTTGGGGGTCCATCTTGGAGGTCTCTTTGGCCCTCTTGGGGCTCCTTTGGGGGTCGCAACAGGCGATCGTTGTGGACGGAATCTAAGCTTGTTGTCTGCGAAGGGAGGGAGCGAGCGGGTGGGTCGCGGCGGATGGGTAAGATGGGAGGGGGCGGCGGGTGGGTCGCGGGTGGGTCGCGGGGTGGTTCGCGGGGTGGGTCGCGGGGTGGGTCGCGGGTGGGTGGCGGGTCGCGGGTGGTTCGCGGGGTTTGTCGTCGGATGGGTCGCGGGAGGGTCGTGTGCGGGGTCGCGGGTGGGACGACGACAACAAACATCAAACATTCAGATCAAGAACAATAGCAACAACAACAGCAGGCATTTTACCCGAATGTTCTATGCTCCCACATGCGGCATGCATTCACCATGAGATATCCCCCTCATGGGTGATGTGTTCTTGCGCACGGGGGTCCGATCTTTCCTCTCCCTGATTTCCCGCCCGAGGAGGTTTTGACAGCACCTTTCCGAGCCAGCTCAACATCTGCTGCCCTGGTGGCACATATCCTTTGCAATCCCTTCGCCCAGGCCTTGCGTCTATGTATCACGACGCCTGAGTGGCCCAAGACCTCAGGGAGCGGCCTCACAACCTTTGGGAAAGTCCCGTGGAGAGCCCCCAGAGCCTGCGACAGAAACTTCGGAGCTTAGGCCCCCAGTCTACAGCTTTTGCGTCGGCCGCTTTCTTATGGCGCTGGGGTTCGTCGTCGTCGTCGTCGCCATTTTGGCTCAAGACGGCACCCAGAGAGCACTGGAGGAACGTCCGTCCTGGCCAGGCTGCCCGCATGGTCTGAGACACTTTGTTCTGGCTTCGACCCGCGTCCGTCTCTCCTTGACGGCGGCGGCGCTCGCCGCGGCGGCGTCAGGCGCCCCAGACTGGGAGCGCAACCAGCGCAGCCGCGTGGACCTCGCCAATCTGGAGCTGGACGGAGGGGCGATTGAGGGCGCCGCGACCGACGACGGTCTGGGCGAGCCTCCGCTGGGCGCCCAGCGGCAGGGCTTGCCGCCTCCTGCGCCCGTGTTGCCGCCAGACCTCGACAGGGGCCAGGTGGCGCAGTACATCATAAGGGGCTCTGAACGGCACGATGGGGGTCCGCATGGATACGGTGGGGCGCAATGTGACACCGTTGCGCCGCACGACGGAATCCAGCGCGAAGGACATCGCCGCGATGCAGGCCAGCCTCACCTCGCAGGAGGCCCGCCTGGCCGCCTTGGAGACGGGCCCTTCCTCCGTTGGCGTGAGCTCCGCAGCTTCGATGGGGGGGTCGACGCGCCTGGAGGACAGCCAAACACTTGGGGACAGTACTTCCAGCAGCAGCGTGAGGGCGCCATGCCTCCACCAGCTGCTGGCCCGAGGGCGCCCCGGGGCGGTGAGAACTCGACGCACGCGGTCTTCGTGGCGGGTTTCCCAGGCACGTGGGAAAAAGGCGGAGGTTGCGAAGCATCTGCTGACAAAATTGACACGCGAACGGACTTTAGACGAGCAGACCATCGCATAGATCTACGGAGTGTGGCGCTTCTGCGACCAGGCCAAAGTCGTCTTCATCAATAATCAGAAGATGTGGGACTTCATGCGTAGGTGGAATGTGTTGAAGGTTCCGTGCCCTGGCGCCCGCAACGACCGCTTGTGGCACAAAGTGGACCTGGGACCGCGCGAGGTCGGGCACTCGCGAAGGGTCAGCTTCGCGGTGCGGACCTTGCGGGAGCATGGGATTCAGACAGGGGCTCTGCACCGAGGAGACGAAGCAGAAGACATCCGACGCCGACTGGGACCGCGGTCAGGTGTCTATCGGAAGAACAGCACGGAGCGCCCGATCCGCATCCTGAGCAGGGCGAGGGCGACTGAACTTCTGGAGCTCGGCGCGGACCCGCTCGCCCAGGCCTTGCTGAGCCAGGAGTTGCTGGAGATGAAGCTCGGCGACCGCTTGGGCGCAATCAGCGACCCACCTCGCCTTCAGTGATTTCGGGTGCGCGGCCGCCGCTATGCCAAGGACATCAGGGACCTCACAGGTCTGGGGTGGAATGCGAGAGGTGTCCTTGCACGTCAGCGGAACCGCGCATTAGAAGTGATTGCAGATGGATTCGGTCCGCGGATCATCCTTTTCCCAGAGCGGTGCGTGTCTGGTGGTGCAGAGCAGACGTGCGACGGCTATGTTGTGCACGTGTCGCCTCCATCGGGGGCCTGGCCACGATGCGCGATGGCGGTGTCCACTTCGTTGATGCCCCCCGTCATCGGCCTGCCTCTGCTCCACGGGCGCACCGTGGCCCTGGACCTACACTTGCAGCTCTGGGGCCGAGTTCGAGTTATGACCAGCCACCTTTTTTCGCGCATCGTGAGATGTGAGTGCGCAGGGGCCATGCAGCAGTTAAGAGATTGTCTAATCTCGATGCCTGTTGATTGCCATGTCATTGTTAGCATTGATGCCCAGGGCGGCCTCGGACCAGCTGTCGGAGACAACGTCGGCCCCTTTCCCGCCTCCGAGATGGCCTGGGGAGGCAGGATGCTCCACGACCTGATGACGGAGTTCGACCTCGTGGCAGCGAGCGAAGGGCCCATGGGGTCAGGTTACCTGCTTCTTCGACAATCGAAAGGAGCCCCGTCATATCGGCTCCATGCTGATGCGCGGGGATTGGCTGCGGCGCGCGCACTGCCAGGCTCGCTTTTCGGACGCCACGGAGAGCGACCACGCGCCCTTGCTGCCGCGCTGCCAGGCTGGCGACCCCGTCGCCACGATCGACGGCCCGATCGAGCTGGAGCCGACTGAGCAGCTGGCGCGCCCGCTGCGCAAGCCCGCAGCTTGGCAGACTGACGACCGCGAGCTGCGCAACGAGCGCGTCTGCACCTCTCTGGAGATCAGTGGCGCGCCACCCGAGCCACAGACGTACGCCGAGGGCGGCATGATGAACGCCGAGGGCATCTTCGCGGACGGCTCAGCTCGCCGCGGGCGCGATCGAGCTGCCCGCCACCGCTGCAAGGCCGCGGGCTGGGGCTTCGCGCTATGCCACGCCGCCGAGCCCAACGACCAGGGCGAGCCGCCGCTGGAAGCCCGTGGCCAAGTTACCATCGAGCCTCGGGACCCGCGGCTTCTAGGCGCGACCTGCCTCTCCTCCAGCGCAGGGGAACTCTCCGCCATCGCTGAGATATATGCATGACGAATCCCCATGCAGCCTGGACCTTTGAAAGGAATCCTATTACGGAAGACGAGGCTCGCGGGCATATGCTTGCGTTTACATCTTCGTCAAGCAATGATTGGGTGCTGGAACAATGGTGCCGCAAGAGTCTACTTGGCGCGACAGCATCTGCAGCTCCTGGAATATGGCGGGCGCCATGAGTTAGCCTTGGCAGCCATCAGTGGGACTATGATCAATGGCATGTGGACTATTATCTTGGATGCTTGGCAGTAATATCGAAGTCATTGGATTAAAGGCGGCACAGAACTATGAGCAGATATCACGTTCCTACGGACACGCTATTAAAAAAAGGCTGAACCTCACGAAGAGTCCTGTATCTGCCACTGCGATTTTGGGCCAGATCGCGGGCTCCTGGACGTCATCCAGGGGCAGCTGGACTGCTGCACAGCGGCTGGTCTGGCGCCGGTGCCCACGCGGCCGGGCCCGGAGACTGGCTGGGCGGCGGCGTGGTGCTGGCTGCTTACGGGGCTGGTGTTCGGAAGCTCTCATCGGAAGCTACCTTGCGCTGGCCGATGTTGGACGACTGGACTGGCCAGGAGGCGGCAACAGGGGCATCAGTGACAGGCCCCAGACGCTTCCAGTCGGACCAGGTGCTGAAGTTCAGGCGCAGCGACGACTGACACCGTCTACTTCTCGCATCAATGGCTGAGACTCTGGACACATATTTGATCCAGGTGTGTATCGATTTCCCGGACGACCCGAACATTCGCTGGCGCCGCGTAGTTTTGCTGTTTGAGCTGGGGCCAGGGCGGTGGGTTGCGAGCACACCTGACTTCGGGGTTGAGGTAGTGGATCTCGCGAACCACCGAGTTGCACCGCTGAGTCTTGCGACGCGCTGGCCAGAGCGAGCGCGGGGAAACGTGTACGGGCACGGCCCGCTCAGCGAGGAGCAGAAGGAGGATATCCTTCTGAGGGGGCTGCAGCTCGCACGAGTCTTAGGGCACAAAGTCACACCGAGTGCCTCGGCGGGAGCTGCGAGACGGTGGAGAGTGTCCGACCCTGGGCACGTGAGGTTCAACAGTGAGCTTGAGGACGCCGACATGCTGCCGGGGAACCGGGCTGTGGGCAGAGGGGGCTGCGGGCTTTACCTCATCGACGAAGAAGAGGAGGATTGGGTGAGTGTGGAGCGTGTTCCCAATCGGCGGCTTGACATGCGGTTGGAAAGGAAGAGGGGCGGGCCCGGCAGAGACCTGCGGATTCATCCAATCCAGCGGGACAGCGCCGGGCGCCGCAGCGCATTGTTGAAAGAGTCGGTCAACATGTTCAAGGTTGCGAAGTTCGAGGACTGGCCCTTCGATGGGCCGTCGGCAGCCGACGAGGTTCTGTCGGAGGTGGCGAAAGCGGGCCTCGAGCTGCACTTGTACCCCACGTGGTGGGAGAGCAAGAGCGGGGTGAACCCGCAGAGCAGCGTGGCTCGGGAGGTGCGGCTGTGCTTCGATTACCTTCGGTGCTTTCAGTCGCACGACCAGCTGAACCTGCCCGCGCTGTCGGGCGTCGAGTCGATCTGTCGGCGAGTCATCGTGTGCCAACAAGCGGTCGAGAGGAACCCGAAGAACCCAGACTTCTCGGGGTTCGAGGGCTTCCTGCAGGCGTCCTTCGACGACAGCGGGGGGCTACGGACCACGGAGTTCGACAAGTACATGGCCGAGTCCCAGAAGACCGATGCCACGGTGCTGGAGCAGTTCAGACTGTGGCAGGAGGAGCTCGAGGCGGACAAGAAGAGGCAGGCCGCCAAGCCGGGCGGCAAGTCGTCGTCGGGGTGATGACGTACGCGCCGGCGTCAGCCGCTGGGCTGGCATCGCGGGGCCTGGGTAATGCTGGCGCCGGCGCGTGTGCGGGCTCTGGCCCTCGCTCTCATGACCGCGAAGTTTTGTTCCATGCGGAGTCGTTCCCTCTTCCTCGGCCTACCGACGAGCGAGGTGATCGCGCGGCCGCGTGCCGCTCTCAGGTGGGTGCTGGGAGTCCTGACGAGCGCCGCGTCATGGTGACTAACGCTGTGAGTGCACTCAACGGGCTGGCTGGTGCTCGTGCTGGAAGGCCATTGCAACTGCGGCGGCCTGGGTATAGAGTCGGTGGCCCCTCTGATCCTCAACGGTCGATCTTGGGGCGAGTCGCTCGACGGGTGGATGACGTGTTCCCTGCCCCGGACGACTTCGATGCAAAGAATTCTCTGTTTGCTCTAATGAAGTGCAAGGATATGTACAAAGTTGGCGACGCCACCTCTCTGGCGCCCATGGCGCTTGAGCGCTTGAAGATCATGAAGGGCGACACCACGCCCAAGGATGCCCTCGGCCTGGTGGGTGGCGACGCGCAGGAGCTACTACGAGACCCTGGGCGGTTCACTGAGCGCCCGCCTGACCATTATGACAGCCGAGGGGTCCCTCCACGTCCATATATGGACCCAGGGCTGAGGGGCAACTCACCGGTGCTGCGAGAGCTGGTCAGCCGTCTTCACTCGTGCGGACTTGTCGTGCACCGCAGGCGGGTGAAGTCATTCATTGGCCTCTTCGCGGTTCTGAAGAAGGACGGCTGGTGGCAACGGCTGATCATCGACTCTAGAGTGCCAATTTTTTCCATCGTCGGCCTCCTCACTCGTACTTAGCCACACCAGGGGCCCTCACTGGGTTGGATGTGTCGGCCGACTCGTTGGGAGTGCTGGCTGACGGCCTTCAGCTCTGCGGGTGCTCAGTGGACTTCCAGGACGGTTTCTACCAGCTGCGGTACCTCCCCCTCTCCGACTGGTTCGGCATCCCGATCAAGATCACCGCGGGGGGGGCCGGCATCAGTGACGTTTACGACAGCGTTGGCGGCCAGGACGCCTGGGGGCGAGTTGAGCCGGGCGAGCGCGTCTGGCCGTGCTTCTGTGGAGTGGCGATGGGCTGGTCGTGGGGCTTGTACATCTGCCGCTCGGCGCTGACCGACGGGCTGATCGTGGCGGTCGGTCGCATGATGGCTTGCAGCCGTGAGGTCGCGGAGCGACAGCTTGCTCGAGACGGCTTCCCGGCTCCGTGCCTCTCCAAGGGCCGGCCCGTCATCGCGCCCTACGTAGACAACGGGAACGTGGTGCGCTACGACGTGGCCGACGCGAAGCAGGTGTACAAGGAGATGGTGAGCGAGCTGGTCTCGCGGGGCTTCACACTTCGGGACCTCGTTGAGTTCGACGAGGACTTGGACATGGTGGGCTTCGTGCTCAGCGGCTCCGACAAGTGCTGGAAGCATCGGCGGTCTCGCTTCTGGCGGCTCTAGTTTGGAGTGGGCCAGCTACTGGCCCGCGGGGGCTGCACGGGAGATGTGATGCGTGTGGTGCTTGGGCACTTGGTGAACTTCTTCCTGCTCTCGCGGTGCTGCCTGAGCATCTTGCAGGAGTGCTACCAGTTTGTTCAGGAGAGCATCGGGCGCTTCCGTCGGTTCAGTGACGCGGTTGTCTCCGAGCTTCGCACGTGCCAGGGGGTGTTGCCGCTGGTGGTGGCGAGGCTCAGCGACCCGTTCTACGAGAAGGCCTTCATCAGCAACTCGTCTACCCTCGGCTACGCGCTTCACCAGGGGTACTTCAGCGGGGCCGAGCTGCGGGCCGTTGGCCGCTGGAAGGAGCGCTGGCGCTTCGCCGACGAGGAGGAGGATCTGGGTCTCGGCCTTGAAGCTAACGGGCCAGGCCTCGACGCCGACTTCGATTGCCTGGGCGAGTCGTTCGATCTGGACGAGGTGCCGAGGGGTGCCCCACATAGGCCGGAGGCCGCGGGGGCCGCCGGTGCCCGGCCGAGGTCGGTGAAGCCCGAGATGGTCACTGGCATCGTGCCGGCGTTGCCCGACAAGCTGCTGGACGGTGCCCGCTGGTCCAGAGTGCTGGTGGGAGCCTGAGGCCGGCGGGAGGCGATCCACATGCAGGAGCGTCGTATCTCGCTGGCAGGGCTGAGGCACGCGGTCGCGGACCCCAGGGCGCACGGGTGCCAGGTCCTCGGTGGGCGACAACCTCTCGGAGATCATGGCGACCGAGAAGGGGAGAGCGGTCGACCACGGGTTGAACGCGCTCTGCCGTCGGGCAGCTGCCCTCCAGCTCGGTGCGGAGATCCGATGGGTGAGGAGGTATGTCGAGTCGGAGCACAACCCAACGGACGCCGACTCCCGCCTGGCGGACAAGGGCGTCCTGAAGGCGGGCGAGGCGCTGCGGCCTGGCCGCCTGGCCGGGCGGCTGCGGGCGGCGGCTGCTAGTCGAGCGGCTGCGCCGGTGCAGACGGCCGAGGGCAGGGGCCCGAGCTGCGCGCGGAGCGAGCGCCAGACGAGGAGGCCGTTGGGCATCCTCGAGTTGTTTGTCGGCTGCGGACGCCTCTCGGGGGCCTGTGCGCAGGCCGGCCTGCGCATCCTGTGCCCGATCGATGTTGCGAACGGAAAACACTTCGACCTACTCAACTCACGTGTTCAGCGTAGGGTCATTCGTTGGATTCGAGAAGGAAGGGTTTGGCACGTTCACTTGGCTCCGCCATGTACCCGCTGGTCCCATGCAAGATCTACTGGCTCCGAGGACTCCAACGAGGTCACCAGGGGCCTGAAGTTGGCGCTCTTCAGTTGTCGTGTTCTGCGGGTATGTCGTCAGTGCGAGGTCACGGTCTCGGTGGAGAACCCGGCCTCATCTGGGATATGGGCCTACGAGCCACTGAAGAGGGAGCTCCACAAGTGCTCGTGCAGTCCTGCCAGGTACGACTCGTGCAGGTACGGGGCCCCGTTCAAGAAGCCTACGATATTCTGTGCTAGCGCGGTCTCTCTCGGGGCCCTGGACAGGAGGTGTAGCTGCCGAGTCCCCCACGAGATCCTCGAGGGCAAGGTCAGGGTGGAGGGCCCGAACGGTCGTCCTACGTGGCGTTGGAAAACATCGTTGGCCGCAGCATGTCCGCCTGGGGTTTGCCGTGTGTATGCCGCTGGGCTCAAACAGGCTGCTCCGCCCGGAGCGTTTCTTCGGGCGGGGGAGCCGACGCGCTGTTAGCCTTGGGCCGATGAGCTGGCGGGCGAGGTCGGGGTCGCCCCGCAGCCGTTCGCCGCGCCGACGTGTCCACGGCGGCTGGCTACTGGATGGGAGCGCGCGACAGGGCACGCCATGTGCGGGTCCAGTGGCGAGAGAAGGCGGCTAGCCATCGCTGCTCTCGCCCTCGCAGGCGACCGCCAAGCTGCTGACCGCTGTGGGCCCCCCAGCGCCAGGCTCGACCGACCGAGGCTCGGGCGAGCGGAAGGCGGACGCCTTGCGCCCCGACCGAGCACGAGCGAGGGCCGCCAGAGCAGGAGGTCCTCGGCAGGAGGGGTACTCGAAGAGCCGCTCGATCTCCGCCAAGGCCCTGCGAGCGTGCACCGAGGCGGTGGGGTTTTCTACCTGTTTTGCAGGATCGTGATGATGCCCACCACCACGTACCAAAAGCTGGACGTGGCCATGGATCAGTACCTGCACAAGCTGTATTTCGATGGGGAGATGATCTCTCGGCCGAACAACACGGTGCACGGACTCATGTACGAGCGGAACCTCACGTGGTCGAAGACATCGGAGTTCCCGCTCACTCAGACGGTCCCGCGAAGCTACCGCAAGAGTTCGTGCAGCGAGTCGCGGGGTGGCGCCCCTTGGGAGTGCGCCATCTTTCTGGCCGGCTTCATTGCCCGGCACGGTTCGAGCGAGTCGTTCCGTGCTGCCGGGCTCATCCTCTTCATGTTCGACACCTACCCGAGGATCTCGGAGGCGGTCCCAATGAGTCGGGACCAGGTTGTTCCTCCTCAAGCCCGCTCAGATCCTCGGAGTTTCAATTCGCTGATCGTTGCACCGAAGGAGCTCGGGAAGCCGACGGGGGGGGGGGCCTGCGACGACACGGTCCTCGTTGGCGAGACGGGACCCGAGCGCAGGCCAGTTTTGCGAACGACCCTGGGTCAGATCCTGAAGGCCATCAGGCCCAAAGAGAACCTCTTCCCGGACCTCACCGCCCAGAAATACGAGATGATCTTCAGGCGGGCCTGTCAGGCCCTGAATTTCGGCGACCTCAAGCTATGCCCACACAGCCTCTGACACGGAGGGGCCCCATTCGACGCACTCGATGGGATCGACACCTTCACGTTCCAGAAGCGTGGTCAGTGGAACGTCATCGCGTCCTGCCAACAATACGAGAAGAAGAGCCGCATCTTGAAGCAGCCGTCCATCCTCGGCCAGGCCCGCGTGCACGAGTCCGCGGATGAGCTGGCATAGCTAGTGCCGAGGCTGCCTCAGCTGCTCTTTTCTGTTTTCAAAGAAAGAAGGAATAATGCTTGAGACTGTGAATGAGGTTACCCACCCACCCACCCGTAGGCCCCAGGGGATCCTGGAGATTGCGGGGAGCTGTTGGCTCACGAGCCATGCGACCGAATTCTGTGTGATATTTACCCTTTTTGGTTTATTTCATGATTTGATGTATCTGTGAATACTCTCGTGCTTGTACGTGCCTGTAGGCGCGCCCGTCTGGTGAAAACATGTTGCCAGTCTGACGGGTCACCTTGAGTGTTGCATAGCCTTTCCGGGCACTCCGCTTCCCTACCCTGGCCGCCTAGTTTATCGAGGATTTCAGTCCTTGACGGTTTTCCTCTGGGAACGGGGGGCCGGGCTCTTTGGCTCTCCGTAGTCATCCTGGCCCCACCCACCTCCCTCTTCGATTTTTTTAGTTCTTTGTATCGCATCGGGAAGCTGTTGGCTCACGAGCGTTGCGACAGAATTCTATGTGATATTTACCCTTTGGTTTATTTCACGATTTGATGTCTCTGTGAATGCTCTCGTGCTTGTACGCGCCTGTAGGCCCGACCCGTCTGGTGAAAACATGCTGCCAGTCTGACGGGTCACCTTGAGTGTTGCATGGCCTTTCCGGGCACTCCGCCCCCCTACCCCGGCCGCCTAGTGCATCGAGGAATTATTTTCCCAGGCGCCGGCTGTGCGCGCCAGGGGCCGCGGCGAGCCCGGCTGTGCGGCTGCCGCGAACAGCAGTGGGCCCGGCTGCGTGGCCGCTGCAGAAAAAAGAATGATTGTCGCATCACTAACACACTCGTGCATTCGTTATCGAGGATATACGGACAGCTTGCGCTGAACTCCGAGCCCGTGGAGACATGTGCGATCGTATTACACATACGGAGGTGATGACCTCTACTGGTACGCAGCATTAGGGTGCGCTACTCTCGGGCAATTAGCAACCGTTGTGGGTTGCAACGCCTGCTGACTGGCATGTGAGGCTGCCTGGCAAGAGGGCAGCGCCGCACTGCAAGCGCATCCAAAATCTGATGTCCAAGGCTCGGGCTCTACGCATGACTATTGTACATGTGGGGGCCACTCGGATATTCTGGAAACAGGGTCCCATACGATATGTTATTGCATATCTTAATTTACATGTCATGCGCATGCATTTCTGCCACTTCGCCTTCAAGTACGACCGCGCGAACAAGTTTCCCAGCGGATCATATCTGCAAGTTGCGACTACGCGCACACGCACCCCTATCAATTTATGGAGATGCGCATGCAATATATTAGGGGAGCCTGCAGAACCCACTGAGCGTATTCTAGACTGGTATGGACAAGGTGCTCAGAAGGCTGAATGGCGAAACAAAACACTAGCGATCTTGACCGCAAGGTTGATTGATCAAATGGATTTACATAAAAAAACAAGAAACTCACACAAGTGCTGTACATCTGAGTATCCATACTCGTGTTGTTAAAGGAGTTCAATCTTACGTTCAGTCTCCTAAGCATGGCCCTGGATGGGGCCATGTTGCGAGCCGGGTGACGATGGACCTGGGCGACAACGCGATCATCCAGGACATCAAGATCGAGGACCAGCCGACTTGGTACATTTATAAAGCATCATTACCCGACGGCGTTACCAACATCCGTAGTCGACTGTACTGGGAGCAGCCGGAACCGACTCTCCTGGGAGATGGCAGCCCACGACCACGCTCAAGGCGAGTGGCGATCATCGATGGCGATCGTCTCCCCTTCGATTGGGCGCGGCAACGCGCTGCCCTCTATTCCAGAATTTCCGACACTTAGCTCACCGGAAACAGAGAAACAGACAGCATTGCCAACAGATGCCAGAATTCAACAAAAAAGAACAACAGAAAGCAGACAAAGAAGCTGGCATCAAACCACGCAAGATACCCAAAATAGCCGAAGAAGGCAACGACGACTGTGGAGACGACCTCAAAGGACTCGGGTGTAGCACATACTACACCGACGTATCTCTGGACTCCGACACGGATAGTGGCGACGAAGTGGAGACATTCATCGCCCTACCTGCAGGGCAACCTGCTGAATTCTATGCAGATGTATAATCCATAACCTCCACGGACGACGCAACAAGGTAGATGCGTTAGAACTACGCGGGGGAATTGGAGGCATCTCCCAGCTAGCATTCAGCCGAGGTCTGTCTTCAGGGGGAAACCTCGACAAACGTACTTTCGTTGACCTTGGAAACAAGGAGGTCCAAGATGCAGCGATGCACTATTTAGACGTTTGCTTCGTCAAGGTTGTCGTATTACAGCCCAGCTGCAGAACGACTGGCTTACCTTCCTATTTCAATGCTAAGGTTAATTACGACACTTGGCATACACATCACAAAGAGGAAATGCCACACATCAAGTTCTGTGGAAATGTAGCCGTACGTCAACATGATAGGCGACGATTCTACCCAAGAGAACAATCATCTGGGACTTGGGTGGAACAGATACCACCATGGACTACGTTGGTCAACAGCAAGGGCACTTGCAAGGTGAGCATGGATCAATGCTCTACTGGCCTACGTGATTTTCACGGGGTACTGATACGAAAACCGATTGAGATCATGGCCAGCCATCGCTTATTTTTCACTCCTTGTGAACGAAAGCGATGTAGTGGCCATCATCAACATGCGTCGGCATGCAATAAGGAACTGTCCATGGTTGCACAATGTACACCAAAGATGCAGCCGCTTTTTGGTGAGTCTGTTCAGATCGCACACGATCTCTTCCAGAGAACTCGCGACCCTTTCTATGGCTACCCATATTCGTCCACGGTGTTGGCGACCAGCGCACAGGGATGCGATTTGAACGACCCGCGTCTTCCCCGACAACCTGATGGCTCGATTGCGGGACCACCGTCGGGAAGGGCTTGGTTGTCCTGCCTGCGCGGATAACGTTAACGTGCGCTCTCCATCTCATGCTAGAGATCCGAGACATTGCAGATGGCACGATAAGGGCGACTATCGCTTGTAGTGTCCGAGCTGTAGCAAGAACTACGGGAATAACAAACCTGGACATGTACTAGCACCTGGCAAATGTAAGTTCGCCAAGCCTTGGAAGCTTCCCGACAATCATGGACAGATTCCGTCGGTTCCCGTCGAACCGGCAGCAGGACCTGCGCCGCCAGATCCCGGTGAAGTAGCAGCACCACCATCCGAGGCACCAGCGGCACCAGCACCTACGCGACTAAGAGCACCGAGACCCAGCTCGAGAGTTGGATCTACTGCGGGCGCAAGCAGTCACGACATTATTGTTGGAAGACATGCTGCTGAGCCTGCTGCAGGGCAACCTGCCTCGAGTGGAGCCGGCAGTTCGGACGACCATCTCCGACTACCAAAGGTTAGAGCAGACGTGGTCGACAACAAGGTGGAGAAGCACCTCCACCACCACCAGCAGGGGGCCCTGCCGCGCGACCACGACTACCAGACTGGTCACGGTTCGATGTACAAATCAGCTTACAAAGCTTGCGAAGCCTTGACCCCAGCGCGGTAACACGCGAGATGCGAAAGTTGCACTAACGCTGGTTCCATGCGAAGGAGCCTCGGATGAGACTCATCTTGA